AAAAGGTTTGCTGCATGGTTAAAATAGCCTACTCTACGCGTATAAAAAAAACGTAAGTCGCGTATAAGTAGCATTTTATTAGGCTATTTCATTCAGAAATAGGCCTAATGCCGATGCGAAATGTTTACAAACATTATAATAAACACTGTAAACATAGCTAGGCTATTTTAGTTCCCCTCACTCCACAACAAATCCTTTCAATTAACAGTATTTAGAAAAGAACAAGAATTAAAAATATAAGAAACTATAGCTATATAAACGACAAGACAAACAAATTAATTTAGGCTAAAACGAAACTGAAACCAACGTTGGGTTTCTCATTCGACACAAAATCAAATGTTTCCGTATTCGCGATGTATTTGAATGGCAAATTATTATTTATTATGTAGCCTACTTCACTCGCGTTCCAATATCCACGTAAAACAAAATGTTTTGCATAACATCACGGCAGTGATAACATTTAAATATGTAACAGCTTTTACATATTTAAACTGAGCAGTGTGTTTTTTTCCCATATGTTTGTCTGACTATTTTATTATGATATTGAACGGGCTGCATTGTCAATCGATTGAATTTGTTCCTTCTAACAGCAACTACTCCTTTTAGTCCTAAAGATAATCGGAATTGTAAAAGGTTTGCTTTTATTTGTGTACATTCACAATAAAAACAAATCTTTGTGCTTTTGTAAAATAGGCCTAAAGAAAAATAGGATGCCGCTTTCTGCCGTCTTGGGTTTCCTTTGTTGCACAGTTTTTCTTTCATTTTCATAATTTGTTATTTAAGTAAAAATATATTTCTCGTATAGGCCTATTTATTAGTTTTATATATACAGTATATATATATATATATATATATAGCATAGCCTAGCTTTATTATGTTTTTCTCCGCTCGCAGAAGCGTTGCAGGTGCATGATGTGATATGATATGAATCCTTATGTTTTGTTGTTTGCTGTGTTTTGCGCATGTAAAATTAATCCCCGGAAAACAAATGTTAGTATTTTTAACGGGTCACAGACGCTTATGCTTTCTAATTTAATTCTAATTTAAAATAATCTTGTCGGTTAACGGTTAATAATCGGTTAACGAGCGTTGGTTAGGAGAAATAACCGAAATGAGCATCCCTAGAAGAAGCATTTGTTAGCTTCCTTATCCTAATTTTTTATGTGTTTGTGCATAATTTGTATTATGTTTTTGTTTATTTTCCAGAATCTGTCGTGGCTACACCAATTTCAAAGAGCTGTGGTCCTTTCTCACCCCAGAGCAGTGACAGCAGCGCTAACAGTTCCCTTTATATGGAGTCTAGTGAGTGAATGCATCTTTCATCTTTCTTTGGGTCAATGGCATGATGCTCTCTATCTATGATTTTATTCAAAAATACATTAAAAATGCAATTCATGCTTACAAAGACCTAAATACACCACTTCTTTGAAGAGCATGTTTTATTTAAAATTCAAATATTTTTTGAGAGCATCAAGTACAAATTTTAGGGTGGTACAACTGCCCTATGTTATGAAGAAAGAATATAGTAAAACTTTTGTCCATCTAATCAAAGTCATGTGGTACAACCAACATGCTGAATCATGCTGAAAAAGTTTAAATATATTAAAATATCAGATAATTTGACCTTTTTATGACGGCAAGATTAGTTCAGGTTGTAAAATGTCTGTTAACTGTTCTGATATTGTAATGAAGAAAAAATGAAAAAAAATTTTTTTTTAGTTTGGCACAAGCTTTTTATATATAAAACCCCCTGCTCTACTGCTTATTAATATTTACAAACTTTGTCCATTTAATCAAAGTCATGTGGTGCAACAAAAAAGCCATGTGGTACAACATGCTGAAATATGCAGAAAAAAACTATCTTAAAAATATCAAATAATTAGACCTTTTTATCATGGCAAGATTAGTTTGGGTTATAAAGAGTCATGTAGTACAACTTTCCTGATATCATAATGCATAATGAAAAAAGTAAACAAAATATTTAATACTCCTCCACTGCTTATTAATATTTAAAAACTTTTGTCAGTCTAATCAAAGTCATTAAAACAAGTAAATTAAAATATCAGATAATGACCTTTTTATGATGACAAGATCAGATCTGGTTGTAATATGTCATGTGGTGCGACTCCCAAAAAGCTGATATTTCTTAATTAATCATTTCGGATATTTGTAAAAAAAAAAAATGTTTTACTTAAAGTCCCTGTGTAAAGTCAATTCTGAGAATTGTTTCTAAACGCATTATAAATGTTACAAATGTATTATTGAAACACGTTACAAAGACTGAATTCTGTAGTACTGAATAGTGGAGTTAAACCGTTAAACAGTTTTTCACCAATTCTGTGTTCAGGATTTTTTGGGCGGGGCTGAAATCATGACTCGATGACGCACTGGAGCCTTTCGATCATGGCCTCTCCCCTAACACTGTAATAACTGTCGATGACGCACCGGAGCAAATATGTATAGCTTTGTAAATCCAATTAAGCTGCTAGGAGCATCCATTCAGGCTGTAGTGGTATTTAACAGTTCAAAGGCAGCAACTTTCCCGTGAGTGGGCGTGGTTTCAGCGCAGACAGTGGACACGCCCCCAGCGTTTGAGAGCAGAGGATACCGTCAATTTTTTCGAGATTTTGATAACTTATTTTATGTACTTGGCGGATTTTTTTTATCATTCAAATTTGGCTTAGTGGTTAATAATACATTTTTCTGTGGTGTGACAAACTCAGAACACATACTAAATATTGACTTTACAGAGACTTATATATATTTAAAAACCTTTGTGAAAATAATGATTGAAAATGGTATAAAAGTTTTCCAAAACACGGCAAAACAGTTTCAAGATTTCCTTTTCTTCATCATGGACACTTACATTCCTCATTATATCATATTTTTGAATAATAATCTTCTTAAACGTGCCTTCACGCTTACAGACAGCAGCCAGTTCAACAGCGTCCCAGACGGATTGTTCCGCAGACCGTCCGAGGGTCAGAGTCTGATCAGCTATCTCTCTGAGCAGGACTTCGGCAGCTGTGCTGATCTGGAGAAGGCAAGTGCAACTCCTCACTACGCTCAGCATCTCTCTTATATCTTGTATATGTCATTCATAACTCGCATACATATCCCATCACCGCAGGAAAACGCCCACTTCAGCATCTCTGAGTCTCTGATCGCAGCCATCGAGCTGATGAAGTGTAACATGCGCAGGCCGGTGGAGGAGGCGGAGGAAGAGGGCGACAGCGACACGGAAATCCAGCAGCTCAAACAGAAAATCCGTCTGCGCAGACTGCAGATACACCGCACACGGATGAAGCCACTGGCCTCCTCTAGTAATCGTAAGATGAGACGTTCGCGATCGAGGAGAAATCAAATGTAAACAGGATGTATACCGTGTATATCTCTTGCTTTTTTCCCACAGAAATCCCATCTGTGGATAGTGGCGGCTCACGGAGGAACTCCCAGGATTCCTTTCACCCCTCTGACTCTGGCTCGGATAGAGACGTGGAGGATTTCGAGCTCAAAGGTAGGAGCTCAAGACAGGAAGTGCATCTCTGATTGCGATGACCTCATTCCCGCTTGTGATCGTATAATCATCTTCACGATTGCCCTCATTACCCATAATGCCATGTGATGAGAAATGTGTTGGCATCCCAATCTCATGACTGATTTCTAACTGATTATGCTCATTTTTGATTCATAATTTGTAACTTTGAATCAAGTTTTGCTTGATTTGTTTGTGTTTTAGCAGGAACAAGCAGAATAGTCATTGCAGGTGTTATTATTCTTAATTCATTGACTTCAGTACGCAAATAAATTTGAAATCACTTCATACTAAATATTGACTTTACAGAGACTTATATATATTTAAAAACCTTTGTGAAAATAATGATTGAAAATGGTATAAAAGTTTTCCAAAACACGGCAAAACAGTTTCAAGATTTCCTTTTCTTCATCATGGACACTTACATTCCTCATTATATCATATTTTTGAATAATAATCTTCTTAAACGTGCCTTCACGCTTACAGACAGCAGCCAGTTCAACAGCGTCCCAGACGGATTGTTCCGCAGACCGTCCGAGGGTCAGAGTCTGATCAGCTATCTCTCTGAGCAGGACTTCGGCAGCTGTGCTGATCTGGAGAAGGCAAGTGCAACTCCTCACTACGCTCAGCATCTCTCTTATATCTTGTATATGTCATTCATAACTCGCATACATATCCCATCACCGCAGGAAAACGCCCACTTCAGCATCTCTGAGTCTCTGATCGCAGCCATCGAGCTGATGAAGTGTAACATGCGCAGGCCGGTGGAGGAGGCGGAGGAAGAGGGCGACAGCGACACGGAAATCCAGCAGCTCAAACAGAAAATCCGTCTGCGCAGACTGCAGATACACCGCACACGGATGAAGCCACTGGCCTCCTCTAGTAATCGTAAGATGAGACGTTCGCGATCGAGGAGAAATCAAATGTAAACAGGATGTATACCGTGTATATCTCTTGCTTTTTTCCCACAGAAATCCCATCTGTGGATAGTGGCGGCTCACGGAGGAACTCCCAGGATTCCTTTCACCCCTCTGACTCTGGCTCGGATAGAGACGTGGAGGATTTCGAGCTCAAAGGTAGGAGCTCAAGACAGGAAGTGCATCTCTGATTGCGATGACCTCATTCCCGCTTGTGATCGTATAATCATCTTCACGATTGCCCTCATTACCCATAATGCCATGTGATGAGAAATGTGTTGGCATCCCAATCTCATGACTGATTTCTAACTGATTATGCTCATTTTTGATTCATAATTTGTAACTTTGAATCAAGTTTTGCTTGATTTGTTTGTGTTTTAGCAGGAACAAGCAGAATAGTCATTGCAGGTGTTATTATTCTTAATTCATTGACTTCAGTACGCAAATAAATTTGAAATCACTTTAGTTTACTTTAACACCCGTTCATATACAAAAACCTTTAAAAGTGGGTCCAGATGGTGTTCAGGTGGTGAGATGTTCACTCCAGTTCTGGGTGAATAAAGTTTTGTTCATATGGTTAAAAAGCTTGTAATTGACACTTGTAATTGTCACGGGAGTGTATTGAAAATGACATTTGCAACACGTTTAACCTTCATAATGTGACATTTCCAAGAATTATTGAAATATTTGGCTAGAAATAATGTATTGTGGGACTTATGGGTAATATATATAAAATGTGTTGCTAAATTTGAATAAAACATAAAACCGTCATATTGTGCAACCAAAAAGTCATTTGGTATAACCAACAAACTCAAACACAAAAACAGTTCCTTAAAAGTTTGGATAATTCGCCTTTTTTATGATGCCAAGATTAGTTCTGGTTGTAAAATGTCATGTGGTGCAACTGTCCTGATACAATGAAGAAAGAATGAAATGTAAAACAAAAAACCTTCATAATATTACATATTTCAAATAAATATTTGGCTAGAAATAATGTATTTTGATTCTTATAGGTGATATATCTAAAATTTGTCTAACTTTTTAAATAAAACATAATAATTTAAATTTTTTATCTATAATAAAACATTTTTAATTGCAAATATTATAGTGTAATATAGTCTCAATATTTATGTACCTGCTATAAAATGTATTTTTTGGCTAATGAACACAATAAAGATATTTGTTTTTATGAACAATATAGTAACTTATTAATAAAGATCAACATATACCTTCAAATGTTTTTCCTAAAATATTTTACATATTTTTACAACATAAAATGCAACACAGATTTTACAGAAATTAATTGTACTTAATAAATCTGTCACTATTTTAGCTCATGAGGTATGTATTTCTAACATTTGTAATAGATACACTACCGTTATTAAATTTGGGGTCAGTAGGTTTTTTTTTAAATATAAAAATGTATACATTTAAAGTAAAGATATTTATAATGTTTCAGTTTCAAATAAATGCAGTTCTTCTGAACTTTCTATTCATCAAAGAAAACATTTAAAAATCTTACTAAAACGTTTTGATTGGTTGTGTATTTTTTTAATATTTAAAAAATGTAAATGTTATTTAATTTAGTTACATATTTAATATTATTATAATTAAAATATAAACTAAATATAATTTTTGAATAAGGTTCAGTTTCTGCATTGATGGATGGTGACCAGGACATTTATTAAGAAAGTGAATGTGGCCTGTTTAGATTTCATGTTGTCTTTATACATTGTACGACACCAGAAACAGGCGTCTGTTTGAGCACACAGTCTGGTCTCTGTCTCTTAGATGGCAGTGATGGGCAGTCCCTGCTGGCGGTGTCTCAGAGCGGCCTGTCCCTGTCACTCGCGTCCCTCTTCTCAGGTACCAGAGACTGACAGAAAAAGGGAAGCCGTGTGTATCGTCTCACAGCCTTTGCTGCTTGATCAGTGATAGATATGATGGTGGGATCAGAGGAGTCAGATGTTTTAGACTCTGTAGCAGTAGTTGGTGGCTGTTCCTGCTTTTTCCTCGGCTTTGCTTGTTCCCCTCACACGGGTCCATCCCATGTGTCAATATGCGTGCCATATAAACCTCTTGTTTGCATGCCGCCGCTTTCTGGCTTTTATTTATTGTATGTGCTAATAAACTGCAACCTTTAACACTGCTTCCTGCATTATGATGGGTGTGTCTCAAAAGCATTCAAAATTATATAATATTATTATAAGAATGGATTTAATCGTGCCTTAATCACTTATGTTTAATATTAATAATTAAATCTAAATATTTCTTATCTTAATGCTTTAATTCATAGTCAGTGCCATGAATCACCTATCTGTCTTTATCAACTTATGTAATATTAGGACACGGGGGCATTTGGGAAATAAAACCGATCAACCTTTTGCTTAGTTGTACCCGATATTTTGGCTTTTTTTTTTTACATTGAAATCTTATATATATAAACAAATACTTAAAATTATATTATAAATGTATATTAGTATAACTTTTATTATTAATATTAATATTTTATATTATTAATTTATGTAATATTTCTGCAATTTATTGTGTTACACATTTACATAATATTTCATATATTCACAAAATATTTTATAATATTTAATTATTCAGAGTTCTCCAAATATTTTAGGGACGCTAACTGGTGCTCAGCCAAGCAAGCAATAATGTAAAAAAGCCAAATAATGTATTGGTCTGTCACTGGTATATAGCTCTTCTTATACAGTAGATCTCATTGGAGAAAGTTTGAACTGTTTTATTCTCATTGTTGTCAGATGCAGACATCAAACGCAGTGCGTCCAGCAGCAGATCCTTCCTCAGCTCAGACTCCATGTAAGCACATCTCAAATCTGTCTTTTTTTTTTTGGCCGATCTTTTTGTGGTCATGACGTCCAGTTTTTTGGAGTTCTGAATGGTATCCAGAACTAATTTGGGATCTGTTGTAATGTCTCTCTGCACAGCTCTCCATCCATGTTACAGTCCAACTCAGCAGAGTCGGTGGCGATGGGTCTCCTCAGACAGTTTGAGGGCATGCAGCTGCCCGCCGCCTCAGAGCTCGACTGGCTGGTTCCAGAGCACGACGCCCCTCAAAAAGTACCTTACTCAAATGTCCTTGAATGTACTTTTATGTGCTTGAAAACCATTAATTGTTTCTTCTCGTGGTTCTCAGATGCAGACATCAAACGCAGTGCGTCCAGCAGCAGATCCTTCCTCAGCTCAGACTCCATGTAAGCACATCTCAAATCTGTCTTTTTTTTTTTGGCCGATCTTTTTGTGGTCATGACGTCCAGTTTTTTGGAGTTCTGAATGGTATCCAGAACTAATTTGGGATCTGTTGTAATGTCTCTCTGCACAGCTCTCCATCCATGTTACAGTCCAACTCAGCAGAGTCGGTGGCGATGGGTCTCCTCAGACAGTTTGAGGGCATGCAGCTGCCCGCCGCCTCAGAGCTCGACTGGCTGGTTCCAGAGCACGACGCCCCTCAAAAAGTACCTTACTCAAATGTCCTTGAATGTACTTTTATGTGCTTGAATGTCCTTACTCAAATCATTTATATAAATAGAAAACAAAATAGGTCCTAAAATGGAACCCTGGGGAACCCCTTTAAATATATAAAGAAAATCAGATTTGAGTCCAGTCTGCTAAATAATTTTTAAACCATTTCAACGTCCCTGGTCCAAAACCAGCACTGCTAAGTTTGTTCAGCAGCAATTCATGATCCACTGAATCAAACGCTTTGGATTGATCCACAAATAATGCTGCGCAGTGTAGGGATGGGCGATATGGGCTTAAAAATATATCAGGGGGGACAGAAACTCCACATATCCATAGCAGAAGTAATACTACTGAGGACGCTCCAGGAAGGTATCCAGTTATCGCTGAATAAAATGCACAACGGAGATAGAGACATTTTAACAGATGAAACTTGAGGAAAATAAACATACGGTTGCACAAAATATAGGGTTTATCTGTGTTCTTCAATCTTGGGTATTTTTATAAGGAAAGTATATTTATAATGCAATGTTAATCGACATGGCCTTTATCACTATATAATACTATCATTCTGTAATATGAAACCACGTCTGGTCACAAAAATAAGTATTTCAAACACTCGACTATGTTAAGTTAATTTATAGAAAAAGCATGTCAATAAATTATATCTTTGTTGGACAACAGGTTTGTAAACAGGCTCATACACATGCAAAACTGTATCGCACACGTAAGACCAATTTTTTGTGCACTGTACAGCCCTAACCAAACCAGTTAAAGATTGTAAAAGGAGCTCCTCATTTAGCGATATAGGCTACTCCTCCTCAATTTCACCTCCGCCTTCCGCGATGTTGCTCGGCACTGTCGCACACAGAAATGTCAACAACTAGACTTTATCGTTATTATTGCTGGAAGACTAATTCTTATCGTGGGGAGAATTTTTACCGGTATATCGCAAACTATAAGATATCGCCCATCCCTAGCGCAGTGCTGTTTTCTATCCAGGGCACCATTAAGGTCATTTATCACCACCGTAGCAGCAGTAATGGTACTATGGCCAGTTCTAAAAGCAGGCTTAATTTAAGGCATCGTTACACAGCCAAGTTAAGGCTGCTCTGTGCCTGCTCAAAATTCAGTGCAAAGACGAAATGCTGCATAAAAGCCAGACTAAATTAAGCCTGCTCTGAACCATCTTAGGCTACAGTTGTATTTGTATCTGTGTAAATACATTTATGCCACCTCTGAGCAGCATTAAACAGTCTGTGTAAAGACGCCTAATACCACTTCAGAAGTGCTTCTGCGCCAACTTTGCAGTGTAAATTTGACATTAGTCTGGCGTTATGTTTTTACAGTACACTGAAAATTGAGCAGGCACAGAGCCTCCTTGGGGTTGTACTGAAATATTTTGTTACTAATTAAATATGTACTAATTTGCATAGCTTTCCAGAACAAAAATCTGAACACTAGATAAAGCCGGGTTCAAAATTCTTGTTTCATTTTGATGACATATTAGAGTTAAAGGTTTTGGAACTTGGATTTCTCTTTTTATGCTTCCATAAATCAGAAAATACTGTCAACAGACAGAAAAAAAATCAATTTTCACCAGGTAAATTATATATGAACAAACCTCTCTGTAAAAAGCTTCAGAATATAGATGGGAATAAAACCGTAAAATGTGGTGTATGCAAGTGGTGCTAAGTCTTTAAAAGTATGTAATGTAATTCAAATTTACAGATGCAAATAGATCAAGTGTAATAAAATAAACGTTTAAATGTTTATTTTTGATGTTTTCTATCCACTAGTCTGAAAGTAGACAAGGAAGCAAAACAGCCATAAAAACTAAAAATGTACAAGTGCATGAAAAAAAAAAAAACCTGTACTGTCTTTGGATTTGGATTCTAATTGAAAATATCTGAATTTCTGATTTTAGTTTTTTTTTTTAAGCTCCTTCCAATACCAGATTCTCTTCCCATTTCACCTGACGATGGCGAACACGCGGACATTTACAAATTACGCATCCGAGTGCGAGGAAATTTGGAGTGGGCTCCTCCCAGACCACAGATCATCTTCAGCATTCACTCTCCTCCAAAGTGAGAACATCACCATCAGTATTCAGCTTCATTTCTTTCATTACATGATTCTGTAACTTATATACTGTATGTCTCCATTGATCCTATCAGGAGGAAGGTGGTGGTGGCGAAACAGAACTACCGCTGCGCTGGCTGCGGCATTCGCATTGATCCAGGTACAAAACACACATGCGTAGTACAAATACAACTTGATTTACTTGAAAGTGTGGGTTTACGCTGGTGATTTCTCTTTGTAATAGACTACATCAAGAGGCTGAGGTACTGTGAGTATCTGGGCCGGTACTTTTGCCAGTGCTGTCATGAGAACACACAGGCTGTAGTGCCAGGAAAGATCCTCAGGAAGTGGGACTTCAGTAAAAGCTACATCAGCAACTTTTCCAGGGACTTGCTGGCTAAGATTGCAGGAGATCCTCTCTTCAACCTAAACGACATCAACAGCGGCCTTTACAAGAAGGTCAAAGCCCTGGAAACATTGCGCGTACGTAAAATAGTACAATGATATATAACATGGAATAAAAGTAAATAAATATCTAAAAATGATATTAAGTCAAATATATATATATATATATATATATATATATATATATATATATATATATAACATGGTTTCATTTTATTATTATTTATATATTTTATATCTCTCTGTATATATAGTTTTTTTGTAAGAGTGTGATATATTAATATTATAAAAGTACATATAATATGTTTGTTTAGCAAGTAAACCAGTAAAAGTAACTTTTTTGCTCAGCATGAAGAACACATTAATTTAGTTAGTTTTGACTTTTGGAAAGTATATTGTTCAAAATTAAAAATGTCTATGTATGGCTTTGCTGTAATAGTGTGATAATAAAATACTAATATAATATATTATAAAATATGTAATAAAATGTAATTTATATAAATTACACTACTACACACTACTGTTCAAAAGTTTGGGGTCAGAAAGATTTTTTATTTAATTTTTAAAAATTAATGCTTTTATTCAGTGAAGATGCATTAAATTGATCAAAAGTAACTGTAAAGACATTTATAATGTTACAAAATATTTCTGCTTCAAATAAATGGTGTTCTTATAAACTTTATATTAATCAAAGAAACATTTAAGCTGCTGAAAATTCAGCTTAGCCATGACTGGAATAAATTCTATTTTAAAATGTATAGAAAAAAAAGTTTTAGAATTGTAATAATATTTCACAATATTACCGTTTTTTTTTTTTTGTTGTATTTTTGAGCAAATACATTTTGAAAGAATACTTGGTGACTTGGGGTTACCTCAAATTTGATAATATAATATAGGCCTGGGCAATAAAATGGTATCGATATTTATCGACGGTACACCACCTTCGATAACGATATAAAAAATGTTCGATATAGGCACGTGCTATGAGTGCATTCAGCGCATTTTTTTAGACGGACAAATATGACTGCTGCACTCGCGTCTCACACAAGAGATGTAGCCATGAAAAGCTAAAACTTTTGGAAAACACGTCACGAATTTGTGGAGGTTTATTCCTTTTCACTGCGTCTCTTTTTTTTAAAAATGCAATCTCTTTGTATTAAGCAATGCATAAATACATGATACTGTTTTGTTCATAATTGTTTATGCAATTTACAAAATTATATTTGATTTATATGAGTTAATTTAGACGTAATGCACGGTTTTTTTTATAGACAGTTATTTATTTGCGTTGACAATTTAAATGCACTGCATTATTTTGCTCATTGCGCCCTCCTGTGGCCTCTCCCGAGACAAGACAAAAGTTTCCTTAAAACCTATTTAATCTGCATATAAAACATTAGAAATTAGATATTTGTTTAATTTTTATTGTGTGTTTGACTGTTGAAACAAAAAAAATATTTGTTGTTTGTCTCAATATATTGGGTTAATTAAAAAATACAGTGGTTAAATTAAAAAAAAAATTCTATTGCTATTTGTTTTAAAAAAGGTTATAAAAAATGTCAATAATTATTGATACCGAAAAATATGAAACATTATCGTTGCCAATTTTTTTAGCTATATCGCCCAGCCCTAATATAATATAATATAATTAACGGTTGTGTAGGCACATTTTATTTGTGATTTGTATTGTTTCATTAAGAATGAATTTACTCTTTCTGTTACAGGCATTGAGGGAACAGTTGAACCACATGAAGAATCTCTTAAAAACGTGCCGTTTGGCTAAAGAGTAAGTGTTTTTCCTGCACTTTTTCTTCGAGACAGCACTGAAGAGCATTGCGTCACAAGTCTCCGTTCTGTTGACAGGGTGCTGGATCAGTTTGACACACTTCCTGGACATCTGACCGAAGACGTTCACCTGTTCTCTCTCAACGACCTCACGGCTGTCCGCAGCGGCAGTCTGGCGCCAAAGCTGCGTGATCTGCTCCGCCTCGGCTCCAGCCACGTCACGGACTGCGTGGTGAGGAACCATTTACACACGATTTGATAGGAGTTACATAACATGGCATTTCTTTAGGTGTCTAAAATTGGGAATTAATATTTCATCTAGATTTGCAAATGATCAGTTTCAGATGATCAGGTACAGTGGGGGAAAAAAGTATTTAGTCAGCCACAAATTGTGCAAGTTCTCCCACTTAAAAAGATGAGAGAGGCCTGTAATTTTCATCATAGGTATACCTTAACTATGAGAAGACATTATCTTCCCCTACGAGCTCAGCAAGTGCCTGCGCTGTGAAGGTGAGCCTCTTATTGATTGGTTGATTAATTCATGCATTTATTTATTTATTTAAGCATGTATGCATTTTTATGTATGCATTTATTTATACACTTCTGCATTTATTTATTCCTGAATTTATTTATACATTTTTGTATTTATTCATTTATTTATAGTTTATTTCCACATTAATCTGTTTATTTTGCATTTATTAATGCATTTATTTATGAACACATGTATTCTAGTATTTAATATATATACAGTTATATATTTATGTATTTACACATTTGTTTATGCATTTATGGATTTATTTATGCCTTTATTTATACAATTATTTAATTATACATTTAAGCATTTATTTATGTACACATTTTTGCATTTATTTATACAATTATTTATTCATGGATTTATTTATACATTTATGCATTTATTTTTATTCACATTTTTTGTATTTATAGTTTATTTCTTTATGTATTTATACATCTGTTTATTTTTGCATTTATTTATATACACATTTATGCAAGTATTTATACAATTATGTATTTATTAATTTATACATTTATTTATGCATTTATGGATTTATTTATGCCTTTATTCATACAATTATTTATACATGTATTTCTGTACACATTTTTGCATTTATTTATATATTTATTTATGCCTTTATTTATACAATTATTTATTCATGGATTTATTTATACATTTATGCATTTATTTATGTACACATTTTGCATTTCATACATTTATGCATTTATTTCTATTTTTAGGCATGCATGTATTCATACAATTATTTATTTATGCCTTTATTTATACAATTATTTATTCATGGATTTATTTATACATTTATGCATTTATGTACACATTTTGCATTTATTCATTTATGCATTTATTTCTATTTTTAGGCATGCATTTATTCATACAATTATTTATTTCTGCATTTATTTATATATGTATACATTTATTCATTTTTATACAATAATTAATCTATTTATTCATTTTGTATGCAGTAAAATTAAATGCATAAATGTATTAATAAATCAATACATAACTAAATGTATAACTTTTTATACATTAATGCATTTGTTTATATGAATTTATGTATGCATTTGTTTATAAATTTATTAAACTAGACCACAATGTACAATGTCTGTACACTCAGTTATCAGAGTCCAAGTACTCTGAGTCCGTGTGTCTTTTTTTTCCATGTTGTGGTGGTTGGTTGTAATGGTTGGTCTGTTTTTTGTTGTGCAGATTGTCATGCATGCTATCATAAGACCTGCTTTAAGGGAGGGAAGGCGTGTCCTCGCTGTCTGAGACTTGCCGAGAGGAGAAAGCGGATGGCTCGCAAGAACATGGAGGAGCAGGAGGACAGAGAAGCAGACGAGGCCGGTGGGACCTAACACACAATGCCAGTAAGATTTAACCAGAGCACAGCACAACAGTGAATGTAGTGACTGATATTCAGCCAAACGTTTCTTGATTCCCGTCCCAAATAAGCTGCTCTGAAAGTCCTGCTGACTGCAGCATAATGGATTATTAATGCTAAAGAGTTTTATGTGCAAAGAAGACATTTCTGCTTTTAAGGACTGCTGCCTTCAAATACAAAATTATATAGTTTTTTTACTATTTACCATGTTTTTGCTTGTTTGTTGCCTCCGTCCTTAAAAATCCAATTTGTTTTAATCAACAGGCTGTCGGGTCCTGTGTCGTAAGCTTTTATGTATAGGGATTTATGTGTCTTGTTTTTGTCTGTCTGCTTTTTGTTGGTTATATTTAAGCGTATAACGCAGGGCTGTCCAAACTCGGTCCTGGAGGGCTGGTGTCAAAAAAACTCAATAATTATTGAGTTTAGCTCCAACCCTAATTAAACACACCTGAACCAGCTAATCAAGCTCTTACTAGGCATTGAAACTTCCAGTCAGGTGTGTTGAGGCAAGTTGGAGCTAAACTGTGCAGGACACCGGTCCTCCAGGACCGAGTTTGGACAGCCCTGGTATAACCTGTTGTGTGCCTCTTTAATGGCTCTTCGTTTGTATCGATGAGAGAACTGAACTGGGCTGCTGAACTCCAGCGGGTTTTACACAACCTTTGTTTCCCGAGAGGTTTCTAGAAGTGCCAGGTTCCAGCTTACTGTGTTAATGATCAAAGCTACTAAAACAAAAGGCCTCATTCGTGAAATGCGAGTCAAATAAATTTGTTAATAATTTGTAAATAAATAAATAAAATTCAATGCAACAATGGATCTCATTTAAGAAAAATACAAATTTCAAGTAAAACTAATTTTTTATGTAAGTGTCCGTTGACGATTGAATCGTAAATTGTCGTATTGAACTGAATGCAACTATTTTGTACAGAAATTCAATTTGCTTGTTCGTAAAACCGTTTTGGCTTTGCACGTAATTTAGACGTAATTCATGTAATTTATGCATAAATTGTTTTGGTTTTGCGAACATTTTAACCAGAAATGTGTTCTGCTCATTTGTAAAACCATTCTTGCTGAAGTTGCTTTGAAATTTGTTTTGCTCATGTTTCACAAATGAGGCCCAATGTTGGTCTTTATTTGTAAATTTAAAGGCCTTTTTGCTTTAACATTTTACACCTAGCAAAGAAATGGCACTTTGTATATTTTTCTGTTCCTTGTTAGACAGCTACTGTCTTGTTGGCTCTTTAATTTGCACTAGTTGGATATGTTTGTTCAAGAATTGTATTAATGTTTGAGCCAGAACGTCATTTCAACATCTCGCATTCAGTCCAAAATCTTGAACAGTGGCCCATTCTCGTTCAATGGAAAAAGACTTGTATTACATACACAAATTGTATTACATACATACAGGACCTAAGTTAGTTTGGGTAGTATCTAAATGAAAATATATTCAAGAGCCCATTTGTTTGCTGCTGTGAGTATATATGAAGCAATAACGACTGTGCTACTCTGCCACAAGCATTAAATGACTTGAATGCACTGACCTTAGTATATGAGATTGAATGAATGAATGAACAAACTTGATTTTGTATGGTTGCTTATGAGATATAATAAGTTTATAACTTTTCATTTGATCCTGCTGACAATGTGTCCACTTGAGCTTATTGTTGTAAAATTACTGAATTGCCTTTTTTATTCAGGGGCTTTTGATGCACTATTTGAGAAAATGTACATATATAATTTCTTATTGTTTTGTAAATATATGTAACTGAATTAAAGATATTTAGACTGTCTTATTGTTTTTTAGTCATAATTGTATTGTTGTGTTAGTCAGATCTTTTGGTCTCTACATTAGAGATCGGCCGATAATTGGTTTTACCGATATGTTTACAGATATTTACGCTTCTGAAACGTGCTGTGGCGCGGCAGATATTAACACGAGCATTGACTAGAGTGGCCGCGATCAGCTCCGGTGGTTGTGTCGGAGCCATAATGTGCCACAGATGTGTGAAGATCAGCTCTAACATAACTGAATCTGCTGTTAAAAATGAACCAACGAGTCATCATATTATGCAAAACTAAGAATTAGAAAAAAATTTATGTGACAATTGGGTGCAGGTCAGGGCGAGTGGATAATTTGGGGCAGGTGGATAATTTGTTTAAAACAGCAGATTCGGGTGGCGTTTGAGCTGATCCGTGCATCTCTACTGGCCGGGGTTTGTAAATGGCCTAAAATCTCAAGGTTTTGGCTTTGTTTTCCTATTGTTTTCATACTTGTAGAAAGTAATGACTGAAAAGTAGTTTGACCAACAACCAACGTGGCACGCGAGAAAGTGGGATCTACAGAGAACGGTCAAAGCAGTGCAAATACGCGTACATATAATGTATGAGAGAACGTCAATAACCAGCCAAAACCTGGATATTTTATGGCAATTTAGAAGTCTTGACCAGGACAGGAAAAGAGGACATATGGTCACCCTATTAAAACCGATACCGATTATTTGCATGTTTATATGATGATAACCGATGTGCATAACTGAACCATTTATTGGTCGATTTAACACTACAAAACCAATATCTGATCATGGAAAAATTTAAAGAAATCAATATCGGTCAATCTCTACTCACTACATTTCTGCTCTAGTGAACATGGGAAAACAACCAAAAGTCTGTATATAAATATTCTGAGATACAGACTTTATATATCTTATAATATATTTTCCGTTAGCCCTGTACTTTTTCTACTGGTTCATCCAAATGCACCACATGCATATGATTACAAGCGCGTATCCGATGATTATCAACAGGTAAATGCGGAAGAGAAGGAAGTCCAGAATGTAGCCCACATGGCACCACTGGTTCTGTAGATGGTCTTCCTTTCGTAGAATGGACAAATAAGTGTTCATATCTCTAAGATCCTGACTGATCTGTCTGAGTTCAGGCACATCCAGTGTCATGGTTCCAGATGCTAGGGGACAAAAAAAAAGCAAGCATTTAGCATCTAAAACGAGGGGTGTCCAATCCTGCTCCTGGAGGACCAAAGTCCTGCTGAGTTTAGCTTCAACCAGGCCCAACAAACTTGTCTGGAAGTTTTTGTGAATCTGAAGACATTGATTAGCTACTTCAGGTGTTTAATTAGGGTTAGAGCTAAACTCTGAAGGACAGTGGCCCTCCAGGAAAAGGTTTGGACACATTTGATTTGAAAGTTAGCATTAGTTTCTATTCTTGTCTCACCATTAGTGGATGTGTGTTGACTGGACGTTGATTCTGAGGGCTGGATGACCCATGGATTGGTTTCTTGTTTCCCTTCTATCTTGGCTAAAGGGTCTTCAGGGAAATTGTAGCAAATAAGTCGAGCAATGAAGCGCATCACCAGCACCTGAACCCAGTGTGGCACCTCCCTGTATTTCATTGAATTATGGTGGAGAACGCAGGTAATGAGGACCGTCTCCAGTAGACTTATGGTCATGAGTGCCAGACACACTGAGAAATAAATACCTAAGAAGGTGAAACCAAATTTTAGAGATATGATACTTAAATGAGTGTTCACATAATTCATATAATGCCACATAAGTAAATTTGTGAATCTTTTTGGTTAATGCTCTTTCCAAGCTCTCTGGAATGTATAGGTCTTGGATACTCTACCAATGAGTTGATAAATTGAATCAGGTGTGCTTAAAGGGGTCCTATTATGCTCTTTTACAAAGTCTTGATTTTGTTTTGGGGGTGTACTAGAACAGGCTCTCATACTAGGTTGTTCGAAAAACACATTATTTTTCACATATTTTACATTATTACAACACCTCTCTCCCCAGTCTGGCATGAACGGCTCGCATAGTTCCTGTATCAAATGAAGGCCCGCCTTCTGAAATATGAAATGTGCTGTGATTGGTTAGCTGGGCCAGTGTGTGTTGTGATTGGCAGTACTCGGCGCCTGGGAAATGTCACGCCCCTTACCAAAGCCGCCTGCGAGCTTTAGTGTAAATATTACGTCAAAATCAAATCAATTTGAGCGTGATTTAAACCCGGATGATTGTAACCACTCTAAGTTCATCTGCCTTGGGAAAGCTAGCATGTCTCCGACATGGTGAAAACACTCGTTGCCTTCTCTAGTGCAGCTCAACCAGGTCTTGTCCCATTCGTCGATATTCGGATATCACAAATCCCGGAAAATATGCGTTGTAGTCCAAACGAGTCATTCGTTGTAGTTTTTGAAAAGTGATTTCTGGTAAATAAAATATCTCCTTTTGCAGTGGACTTTGAGCTTTGTAACTTTGCAGATCTTTTTTATGCTCAAACAGCAACATTACAGACTAACTTAAGTTGAAAAAGTATAATAAGATCCCTTTAATGAGGAAGAGTTTGAAAATGTGTTGGTGTGCCTTCAGGAACAGGGTTGGAAAACACTGGAGTAATAGTAAAGTAACCTATTTTACACTCTTGAGTGTTATGACCAATGTTTGTTGTTTGACGTTCACGTATTGTTTCATACAGGTGTGTTGTGGCTAACTGACCTATTAAAGGTGTCCCATTAGCAGTGCTGGGAAGCAGGTCATTCATAATGAGAAGAAAGACTGTATATCCTAGAATGAGGGTCATTTTGAAAGAGGATCGATCCACACTGTGCGGCGGCAGGTAGAATGACAGGAGGTCAATGATCAGGAGGAAGGAGCTGGGGATGATCAGGTTCACCACATACAGTATCGGCCGTCGCTTTATCACCACCTGCAGGATGGAAACAGTAAGACTTGTACTGACATACATTTAGCTTAAAGTGCTGTATGTTTTTTTTATTTTTATTTTTTTATTTTGGAATATCACCATTTATGTCAATTTAATATCGTCATTTATGGAGCTCCGCTCATGACATTTGGAAGTAAAAATATGTTGTGATTCATGGTCAATAAATAAAGAATTAGTTTCTAAGACTTTACTAATAAGAATTAATTTGTTCCCTCTTTTTAATTTGGTTAAATTGTGGCCAGACTTTAATGAAATTAATTTGTACAATGTCGCCACAAATTAATAATTATCTCAGAATTCTGTTTTTTTTCTCGCAATTCTGAAAAAGAGTGAATTGTGGGATAAAAAGAAGCAATTACCTTTTCTTATTTTTAATGAGACTTTAAAATCATTGGACAGACCGAAGATGTTTTCTTCCCCACAGTAAGTTACTGCGTGATCAGAGAGAACTGCAGTAAATTAGCAGAATACAGAATACAAGCTCGCGCTGAGGCTCACTCTGTTTGTCTCGAGACTTCAGAACAAATGAGCGCGACAGCACACATAAACTCAGAAGAAACACACTGAGGTAGAAATTTGAAATGTTTAGTTTATTCATAACATGATATAGTTAAATAACACCATGACAAGTGAGCTATTTTGCTCAATATTCTCACGACGCGAAAAAAAAACCGTTCAAAACACCTAACTTACATCATGTAAGTTATGTCCTGCATTAAACAGTGTAAATACATCTAAATGCCACTTCAGGTGCAGCTTATGTCTGGATTGCAAAGATGAATTTTGTTGATACTGATTTAATTTGCTTGGTAACAGCCCAAATGTCTTATTCTTATTCACTGATTAAATGTAAGAATTTGACTCAAAAGATAATGCACACTTATAGAAAAATGGCTTTATAAAGGTAAAATGCCCATAAAAGGTCAAATCTATTTAAACTTATTGGAAAAGATTAATTTCTATCTGACCACCACACAGAAAATGAAGAATATCAAAAACTTTAGGAGTCAGCTGTCCACGAACGTCCTTAAGATACCAGCATGATAGCACACTCAATCAGTTGAATGAATGACTCAATGACTCACTCAATAAGTGATTTACCGTCACTTACTGGTAGTTTAGTTGAGTATGTTGAAAAGTATGCATTTTTCCCCTCAACATTTCTTATTTGTATACTCATAAATGCATTTAAAACATTAATCTCATAACATTATTTATTGCAGTTGTAATTATTGTTATTTGCAGTGTAAATTATTTAATCTGACTGGTAGCAGCCCTATAGTGTATATTGAATTTATTGATAAATTGTAATAATTTGACATGTAAGATGATGCATACATCTAAAAAGGTTAAAAATAGGCCTTTGTAAAGGTAAATATGCAGATTTAAGTACGTAAAAGCTGATAGAACACTGATGAAAATATTGCTTCAGAATAAATTTACTCCACCAAAAATCTCAGAGATGCAGTTATTTTGCGGGGATATTTTGTATGGAACATTGTCTGCTGATATGAAAAATTCACTGTATATCGTAGTAATATAATTTATTACAGCAATGATGTTTTGTTTTCTTTTTAATTTATACACATTAAATATTACATGTATGTAATAAAATGTGTATTTCCGTTACAGGTTTAGGTCTTAAATTTCATATAAGGTGGTATTAAAAAGGTCTTAAAAAGTCTTAAATTTAACTTGTTCATATCTGCAGAAACCCTGCTTTCCAAGTCTAGAGTGGTCCGAGTCTGTCAAGTGACAGGTCGCCACATGGGGCGGGGACCTGACATTCGCAGTACTGCTCTTTTAAATAAAGAAGTCCGCTATTACAGCGGTAGTTTGCTCGGGCATGTGCTGAGTGGCAAGGACAGGCCTAGATGAACAGCGCTTCCGTTGCCCGGAGCTAGATGGGGAACTGGAAAGCGAGAATGAGTGTTTAGCCATCTGAGGGCGCTGTCAGGCTTTGATTTTAGCCGAGGCTGAGCTGGAGACGGAGAAGGCTTTGCAGGCTGCTGGGAAGACAGAGCCTTCTGGCGACCTGAACCAGCCGTCGAGCTGGAGAGCATAGGCAGGAAGTTGCGCATGACCTGCGGCGACTTCTGTGCTGCAGTGAAGCGCTTTGCAAATCCGTCCACGGCAGGGCCGAATAAACCCGTAGGGAAGACCGGGGAGTCGAGGAAGGTGATTTGGTCTGCGCCCTTGATCTTCTTAAAATTGAGCCAAAGGTGGCGCTTAAGTACCACCATGCTGATTGCCTGCACAATAGCCTTAATAGCGCGCAGAGCCAGGTTGGTTGCTGTGCGCAGCTCCTTAAATAACGGTGGATAAACGGTGATGCAAGAGAGAGTCGTCACCGTTCTGTTAATTATGATTTTAATTAATTTTTTTCTGGTGCAGTCGTGGCCAAATGGTTTGAGAGTTGGACTTGTAACCCAAAGGTTGCGGGTTCGAGTCTCAGGTCCAGCAGGAATTGTCGGTGGGGGGAGTGAATAACCAGCGCTCTCTTCAGCGCTGAATAAGCCCAGCCTACTAGAGCCGAAATTGTCCTACTGGGCTTAGAATGGTGCACAGCCTTGGCTGTTAGTTCCAGGGCAGATGTTGGGCAGAGATGTGCAGCGACTGCCTCTTCCAGAGGGGGGAGCTTGCCATATTAATTTTCTTCAGCACCGTCAACAGATGTGAGGGCGGCAGAATTAGAAGAGTGGATGCACACAGAGTTGCGGGCGCGCCACACCTTTGTAAGTTCATCGTGAACTTCCGGAAAAATGGCACTGGTCTCTGGAGGGAGATTCATTGACGACGGCCCAGTGAGCATCATTCGTCTAAGCGCTGTGGGCAGGCTCTTCTGGAGCCGGCTAAGCTGAGATTCTCCAAAGCCTTGGTGAGGATGCGAATCAGTTCGCTATCCACACCAGCCCGTGATAACTCACTAGGGAGAAGGGTGCCAGGATCCTCTCCGGAGCATGCGCAATCCTCTGAATCTGAAGCTGTCAGTAATATGGAGTCATTCTCCTCTGATCCACCTAAAAAGATCAAACCGCTCATTGCAGATGAGGGGCGCTGATCCTCACGTGCAAAAGACACCGGATCAAAGTGCTGCGGGGAGAGTGACGCACGCGGGACCTGTGCCGGCATGAAATCACTCGAGCCCGGTTGCTCAGCCCCGTGACTCCACTGTTTGTTCCTCCGAGGCAGCTGGGAGGGGAGAAATGGGAGAGCAAGAATAAGGTGAAGCAGGGCGAGACTCAAGCTCTCGCAATGAGAGGAGTCTCTCTCAGTGAGAGCAGCCTCAGCGTGGGTGTGGCCCAGGCAAGCGGCACACTCTCTGTGCCCATCTGAAGCGTCACACCATTTGCAACAATGGCGAAGAAATTTGCTCTTAGAAAATTTGCTTTTTGTGATAGCTGGATAGCCGCAAAGGAGAAGGTGCTGAAGAAGAGCGCCTTCCCGCTGCCGAGGCTGGTCCACAGCGAGTAGCAGGCTTCAAGCTTCTTGCACCAGAGTCCAGCGAGGAGATGGTTTTCGCGCAGAAGGAGAAAATTCTGATGAATGGCGCTTAGAGCCGACTTATATGGCAGTCGTGCCACCCCTTTTGGCGGGCTGAAGCGCCATTTGTTCATGCAGCTAAACAAATGTGATCAAATCAGGCTTCAGTATCAGTAAGCAGGAGTTTATCCCATAAGCATATAACGCAATGGGAGAGACCGTTCGATAGGGAACAGCGTAGCATTTTAGTATGCATTTCTAAACATAGCCTATTATGCTTTTGTCTCTTTCTTACCCAGAAAGTGATGATGTCCCATTTAATGTTTTTTTTAACCTTAAACTGCATAAACACATTTCATTACACAAAATAATGTTCTTTTTAGCAGCATCATATGACCCTTTTAAATTCCTGAGGAAATGTAATAACTCAATATTATAGGTTTTTAACGTTTTAATGTCATGTTAGCTAATGCCTTCGTCTTAACAAAATCATCTGCTGAAGTCTATTGCACACAGTGCTGGGTAGATTACTTACAAATTGTAGTCTGTTACTGATT